AGACACTAACCAAACGGAGAGGGACCCTAATCCTTTTTGAGACTTCTGCTGTGTGAACAAAGTTGATTCTGATGTTCAGAAATACTCTTAATCTTACAGGTTGTGGTTTTACTCACACACAGAGAAAGGTTAGACCCCAGCTTCTGTTGGTGGTGATAATCAGCTGCCGGACTGTATGAGGAGGGGCTTTCTCCTTAACCGTTATCAGGTTCCTTTTGCTCGATACTTGGCAATGAATAAACTGACCAACATTAAACGCTACCACATAGCCAAAGTATATCGGCGAGATAACCCAGCCATGACCCGTGGCCGGTATCGGGAATTCTATCAGTGTGTGAGTATGTGGGGCATGACAGGGAACTTGGCCCTCCCTCAACTTAGTAGAATCTCCTGGGTACTCATGGTGTCCTGAACAAACTGGATGCACCAGATAGTGCTAATCCTTAGATTACTTGAGTATTTTCATGTAGAGGATAGGGATTATTCTCCCCATTTTACATATGAGTAAACTTGCAACTCAGCAAGGTTAAGGGATGGTAGGGATAAGAAAGCCAAAGTCAGGCTTTGAACTCTTGGTCCAGTTTTCTTTATGTTAAACCACAGTGATTGGATCACAGCAAAGGATGGGGAGATTGGATTTGAAGTAACAGGTCATCCAGAGTGGTGGCAGAGCTTCTAAATAAAGAGAAAATGGTTAGGACTAAGGCCATGTATTTGCTCCCACAGTGCTACGAGAAAATAAGGAAAAGTAGCTGAGTGAGATAATGAAGGAAAGTAGACAGAAGGGAAACCAGGACTGGTAAGAGACCCAAGAATGCAGGGAGATTCCTCTGGGTTGGTGCTCTGACAGATAATGAAGGTGGTGTTGTGTGCATGAGTGTAGATAGGCCTTTATAGGGAAAAAGCAGAGCTCCCAGTACCCTGTCTGCCCGCCTGACCCTTAAGACAGTTAAAACCCTAAGCACTGTACCTACCCATCTCCCTGCAGGATTTTGACATTGCCGGACAATTTGACCCCATGATCCCTGATGCAGAGTGCCTGAAGATCATGTGTGAGATCCTGAGTTCCCTTCAGATAGGCGACTTCCTGGTCAAGGTCAGAGCTGGATGGGTTTGGAGGGCAAAGCCGGGCCTAGCTTCTCATAGGAGAAGATCCTCTGCAGAGAGACCAGTAGCCCAAGTGACCAAAACTGTTAATGTTCACACAAAGAGATTCTCTCCTCACTGTGCCTTGGGTCCCTGCAGGTGAATGATCGGCGCATCCTCGATGGGATGTTTGCCATATGTGGTGTTCCTGATAGCAAGTTCCGAACCATCTGCTCCTCAGTGGACAAGCTGGACAAGGTAATGACCTAAACACTTCACTCTTTTCTCAGACCCCACCCTGCTCTGAGAAATGTAAAATAAGATCAGAAAAGGAGGATTAGCCCCAGAATGAAAGGCAACTTCTGCTCCAAAACTGCCCCCTCAGGGGGGCCCACACTTACTCTGCAGTGGAGAACTACCCAGGAGTCCCTTACTGGTATCTGTCTGCCTAGGTGTCCTGGGAGGAAGTAAAGAACGAGATGGTGGGAGAGAAGGGCCTCGCACCCAAGGTGGCTGACCGTATTGGGGACTATGTCCAGCAGCATGGTAAGGAACAGACCCTGCCTCTCCAACAGCCATCGAACTGGCCTCAAACCTTAGGCCAAAACTGTGTGTGTGTGTGTGTGTGTGTGTGTGTGTACGTGTACGCATGCAGACATGTGTAGTCTAGGCAAAAAGGTAGAAAGCACCTCTACCTGTTTGCTCTTGTCAGTCAGTCTGGCTCACAAATGGTATCTCCCCAGGTGGGGTATCCCTCGTGGAACAGCTGCTCCAGGATCCTGAACTGTCCCAAAACAAACAGGCCTTGGAGGGCCTAGGAGACCTAAAGATACTGTTTGAATACCTGACCCTGTTTGGCATTGCTGACAAGGTGAGTCAGGCTGGGGTGGACACTATAGCTCAGCTCCAGGGTTTCAGGTCCTTGATCCTCATCTGGTACTGACTGTGCTCTTGTCCCCACAGATTTCCTTTGACCTGAGCCTTGCTCGAGGCCTAGACTACTACACTGGGGTGATCTATGAGGCGGTGCTGCTACAGACCCCAGTTCGGGCAGGGGAAGAGCCCTTGGGTGTGGGCAGTGTGGCTGCCGGAGGACGCTATGATGGGCTAGTGGGCATGTTCGACCCAAAAGGACGCAAGGTGCCATGTGTGGGGCTCAGCATTGGGGTAGAGCGGATCTTTTCCATTGTGGAGCAGAGGCTAGAGGTATGTCCTGGGGGTGTGCAGCTGGTGGCATGTGAGCTGTTTTGTTTTATCTTCAAGGGGGCAGATGGTACTGTTTTGGTCAAGGAGCATCTTTGGAAAGAAATGGAGAAAAGATGGTTATTGTCTTTCATACCCCACTATAGGCCATCTTTATGGATCTTTGATCATTGTTTCTTCACAGAATCCTTTCTTCTGGGTCTCTGCATTTCCCTGAGCACTGTCAGAAGTCATAGTATATCCAAAGACCCAGATCTTTAGAATACAGAATGCTTGATATTTTACTATTCTGTGCTGGGCACCGTGCTTAGTGCTTTTCATACGCTATCAGTAAAATTCTTACATACCCCTCTGAGAGTAGCTACTTTTATTTATTTCTAGACAAGGGAACTGAAGCATTACAGGTCACAGCTTGCTCAAGGTTGTGAAACTCTTTAAGTAGCAGGGTCAGAATTCGAATCCAGGCAGTCTAAATCCAGAGTCTTGCTCCTAACTACTCTGATGTTGTTTCTAAGTGGTAAGCGTGTATCTGAGGCCTTGGGATCCTTCAGGTGGATATCTTCACTCTCTAGCCCCTAGAGTGACACCAGGGAAGGTCTCATGGCCTCAGGCACTCCTTTGCTGCTGCTCTTAACTGGCTGGTCTCATTTCATCCCTTGGGGAATTCTCCAGCAGTAATCATCCCAATGCTTCCATCCTTTCCTCTGGAGCGGAAACCATCCATGTTTCCCAGTTAAGGTCACTGTTCCAGTAGACATCTTATGTTGTTAAGAACAATGAAAATAGGGGCACCTGGCTGGCTCAGTTTGTTAAGAAGCTGCCTTCAGCTGGGTCATGATCCCAGGATCCTGGGATCAAGCCCCACGTTGGGCTCCTTGCTCAGCAGGGAGCCAGCTTCTCCCCTACCTGCCACTCCCCCCTGCTTGTGCTTGCTCTCCCTTCTCTTTCTCTGTGCGAAATAAAATCTTACACAAAAAAAAAAAAAAAAAAAAAAATCTATGAAAATAGTTTTCCAGAAAAAGACAAGGGGCAGCAGAAGCATTGTCCCTTTCCCCCGTCCACCCACACCCTGGGTTGGGCCCTGTGGCCAAAGCATAATAGGCACAGCCTCTTGCCTGGGCAGACATGTTGTAAGTGGGAACTGGGTAAACTCACAGTATCGCTTCTGTGTGAATGTTCTTTTGGACCCTTAAGGTACTAGAAGGAGACAAGTTTTAAGTTATTGTACATAAACCACCTTTGCCCTTGCCCTACATTATCTGTTCTGGCAAGTCATAGGTACGAACCAGTCAGTTCATTTCTTAACATCTTCTAGGAGCTACCTTATGCCCCGTTGCTAGGGGAGAAGACTGGGCCCCTGTCCTGGTGGAGCTCGTGCAGTTGGGTCTGATCTCTCAGTATCCTGACAACAGCCTGCTCTATTTGCTCCTTGAAGGTAGCCCAGCTCTCTGACTCTTACCTGCCCCTTCCCCAGGCTTTGGAGGAGAAGGTACGGACCACAGAGACACAGGTGCTTGTGGCATCTGCACAGAAGAAGCTGCTGGAGGAGAGACTGAGGCTTGTCTCAGAGCTCTGGGATGCTGGGATCAAGGTAGAGGAGGCCAGCCCCAGGGTGGCAGCAAACTTGGGAGTGCTGGGAACAGACTAAATAAAAGCTCATCCATGGCAACTTCGGGTAGGAGAGCTAAAAGCACTTGGGCTCCAAGGAGGTTGTCCCTGAGGACAATAGAAACCAGCCTTCATCTTCCACCCTTGTCCCCTGCAGGCAGAGCTGCTCTACAAGAAGAACCCAAAGCTGCTGAACCAGTTGCAATACTGTGAGGAGGCAGGCATCCCACTGGTGGTCATCATCGGTGAGCAGGAGCTCAAGGACGGGGTCATCAAGCTCCGCTCAGTGGCCAGCAGGGAAGAGGTACATAAGTAGGCAGGAAAGCTGAGGGATGGGGAATGTATGGCATTTTGGCAGTCCATCCCCATTCAAGACCTGAGTAAAAGCTTGGCACTCATGTTAGTACCCTCTCAGAAAAGACGAAAGGGTTAGCCTGTTACTGTGGTCATGGTAGGGAGTCCCATCTCCATCTATACCCAGTGTCTCTGGCTTCTCCAAGAAGCACTATCTACTTTTTGCCTGCATTCCAGCTCCCGGCTGAGCCAAGCCTGATGACTAGAGGAAGGAGTGGGTACTTAGGAGCAGTGGAGTCAAAGATACTCATACCACCTTCTCTCCCCATCCTGGCCAGGTGGATGTCCGAAGAGAAGACCTTGTGGAAGAAATCAAAAGGAGAACAAGCCAGCCCTTTTGCATCTGCTGAGTTGAGCAAACTATCAGCAAACTGGGACTGGCACTATTTGAGGCTAAGAAGACTCTGCATATATACTTAACAGCTTTGCACACTTCTGTTCTAGCAGGAAGACCTGAACAGTGGTCAGAACAGAGACTTTTTATTATGATTATTTTATTGGTAATCACGGACAAAAGTGGCCAGGTATTACACCATTTTTCCATAGGAGGTCCTGGGGGCTTAGTCCAGTCTGTGCTCTGGGGACCGAGCCTAAGAATGGTCGCCCCTGCACGACCCTAACCAGATGGAGGGAATGCTCCCCCCCAAACAATACTTAAAGGTCCAATAAAATGACTCAACCACTGGAGCCTGCCTGTGTCACTGTTACCTGGTCCTGCCTTCGCTGTGGGAGCCTGGGCCTCCCATTCCAACGACTTGAGCGGTGGGAAAGTGGGGAGAAAGACTTTACGCAGCACTGGCACTGCCCCAGGGTGAAGGGTGCCGCTGAGGTTCCCGCCTCCAGCGCACATCCGTGCCCTAGGAGGTGGGGCTGTCGGTACACTCACGGGTTAAGGTTCCAGCTTTCACCTGAGGGCTGGAGGTTTCCGCGGCGCACGTGCAATGGATACCCCCACCCCCTTGGGGGGCGGGGTCGTGTTCAGAGCCAATGAGAGCTTGGGGGGCGGAGGAGTAGGGAAGCTTCCAGAGGCAGATGCGGAGAAGATTATAAAGGAGGTACCGACCGGCCGGCGGAGAGAGCCATGCAGTCCAAGCGGGAGTGTGAGGTAAGTGGTGGCACGAGGGGCTCGACAAGTGCCACCTGCGCAAGAAGTGGCCCATTGGGCTCTACTCCACGGGCGAGGTGGGGGCGGGCACGGTGATCCGCCATTCCAACCTGCCCTTTCGCCTTCAGCTATGGTGTGAGAGGGTGAATCCAGAGAACAAGGCCGCGTTGGAGGCGTGGGTCAGGGAGACCGGCATCCGCCTGGTGCAGGTGAACGGGCAGAGGAAGTATGGCGGGCCACCCCCAGGTACGGTAGTCTCAGCCCTACGCCTGCCTCGCTCCCCCAGCCTCGACGGTACCGACCGGCACCCTCTGGGCGGGGAAGGGATATCCCGGTGCTCAGCAGGCAGAAACCTCTGTCCGTTGCACCCCCTCCAGTCAAGCAGCTGAGGAAACTTAGGCTCTCCACCCACCCACCTTGCCTCCCTCGAGGCAGGGAAGCCAGCCTTGCTGTTAGCTTAGGCACCCAGTTATGCCAACGACGGGGGGCGGGGGGAGTGCTGCGTCCATTTCACAGACATTTGCTCATAGGCCCCCTCGGGCTGACTGCCGGGGCCCGAACCCGGAACCATCCCGGAGGATGACGGTGCCCCTTCCCGCCCCTTCCCCCAGGCTGGGTGGGCAGCCCGCCGCCAGCCGGGTCCGAAGTGTTTATCGGACGGCTGCCTCAGGACGTGTACGAGCACCAGCTGATCCCACTGTTCCAGCGCGTGGGCCGCCTCTACGAGTTCCGCCTGATGATGACCTTCAGCGGCCTGAACCGCGGCTTCGCCTACGCGCGCTACAGTTCGCGGCGCGGCGCCCAGGCAGCCATCGCCACGCTGCACAACCACCCGCTGCGGCCGTCCTGCCCGCTGCTCGTGTGCCGCAGCACGGAGAAGTGCGAGCTGAGTGTGGACGGGCTGCCTCCGGGTCTGAGCCGCCGCGCGCTGCTGCTCGCGCTGCAGCCCCTGGGTTCCGGCCTGCAGGAGGCGCTGCTAATGCCCAGCCCCGGGCCGGCGCCCGCGCAAATTGCGCTGCTCAAGTTCAACTCGCACCGCGCGGCCGCCATGGCCAAAAAAGCCCTGGTGGAAGGTAGGGGTGGGGGGGCAAGGCTGCGGGGGGCTGCTGAAGGGGGCCAGACACATTTTGCCATGCACTTGACACATCAGTATAGAGGTATAGAGGGTGAAGCAAGATCGTAGGGTTAAGAATGCCTGTTTTCGACGTCATACTATATATGACCTGAGATTTTTAATTTCCGCGGGTGTACCAAGTACCACCTACGTGAACTCTTCCCTTGCATTGTGTCTTCAACATTCCAATGAAACACAGAATGATCTCCCTCTTTAGATATGAAGAGAGGGTTTAAAAGAAATTGATTTGCCCTAGGCAGTCCTGCTGAGTCTGCCTTTTATCTACTATAGAACTTCCTACCTTTGGGTGTGGTGACAATTAGATGGCACTTAGCACATTCCCTGAGTCCTGTTAAGCCTTCACAATAAAGGTTAGCTATTATGATGGTTATGAGGTAGACAAAGCCTGCATCCACCAGCACACCAATAAGGAAACTTAGAAGGTAGCAGCTACTACACCCCCTTTTCAAAGAAACACAATGAAGCCACCAGGAAATGGGAAGGCTAGATATTAAACAGGCCTCCCTGTGAACCCTCTGACTCCAAAGGGTTCACAGGGCCTGGGAACTTGGATCCAGGACTTAGGCCTCTCCTTGTCTCTGCCTTTTTCCTGCAGGGCAGTCCCGCCTCTGTGGAGAGCAAGTGGCCGTGGAGTGGCTTAAGCCAGACCTGAAGCAGCGACTCCGCCAGCAGCTCATGGGTCCCTCCCTGCAGTGCCTACAGCCAGAGGGCAGTCGACTGGCCCCAGCCGGGGACAAGCTAGAGTCCCACCGGCCTCGGGCTGCCCTGCAGCTGTTGTGCCAAAGGATGAAGCTGGGCAGCCCCGTGTTCCTCACCAAGTGTCTAGGCACAGGCCCTGCCGGCTGGCACCGCTTCTGGTACCAGGTGGTGATCCCCGGGCACCCAGTGCCCTTCAGTGGCCTCATCTGGGTGGTGCTGGCCCCAGACGGGCAGGATGGGCACGAGGTAGCTAAGGATGCAGTGTCTGCCAGGCTGGTAGAGGCACTGAGTGAGTCCAGAGCCAGCTTTCTCCGGTCTGCTGGGGCTGAGGCAGGTACCATGGTTAAGCAGTGACCCTGTCCTCTTCACAGGCAGTCTGTACGAGTTAGCAGAGCCTGTCAGTCTCCAGCCCAGCAGGCCTGGGCAGCCACCATCTGTCCTCAAAGAGGAGGAGCGTGGGCCCTGCCCTACCTCTGACAGCCTCCCAGCTGGGGCAGGGCCCCAGTACACCAGGAAAGCTCAGGGTTGGCTAAGTTGTGGTGAGGGACCTTGTTCTCCCCCTCCCAGCCCAGGGTCTGACCTGCCTCATGGTATTCCTTGGCCATTCAGTGCGATAGACACACTAACAACCCTTCTTCTCCCACAGCTTAGTATGAATCTCATCTCTTAGTCTCTTGATTTGTCATCTTTGTTGATTTTATTTGGAGGCTGGCTGAGCCAGAGGGTCAGAAAATCTGCCTTTTGTCCCCACTACTTGACATTCTGGTTACAGTATATGTGATTTTGGGTTTTTCTATGCTGTTGTATTTATATTAAACCCCTGGTTGGTGTACACTGTGGTCCGTGCTATCTTGCCCCAGCTCTGGGCTTGTCTTACACCGGCAGAGTGAGCAGCTGCCACCGAACAAGGACTTTCTCCCACCAGTGCCCTCAGTCCTGAGCCTCTGGCTACACAGCTTTGTGTACTGCACAAGAGTAGTAAAAGTTCATAGCATCTCTGCGTACCCAGCCCAGGGAGCAACACTTGCTCAGTGAGGACCTATCCGCCTCAATCACTATCATTCTCACTCTCTTTCTCTTCCTTCTGAGCTGTGGAGTCTTCTTCCTCTTCCCTCAGGCCTGCAAAGAAGTCATCTGTGCTCCACGCCTTGCTGCTCAGACCCCGCAGTGGCCCTCCCTTTTTCTTGCGCCGGCGGTAGTCATCGACTACCACAGTCCGCAGCTGGGCCATGTTCCAGAACTTGAGGCGCTGGTCGTGACCACTGCTGGCCAGGAAGTGGCCACAGTGGGAGAGGGCCAGCTTCTCCACAGGCTCCCCAGCATGCTGCCCCACGCTGCCCACCACGCGATTTGGCAGGATATTGACAGCCCTGGGCAGAGAAAAGATAGTGTTTGGTCTTGGCTGGTGGGCTCTGCCCCTGGTGTGATCTCAGGGCTGTCCTGGCCTCTCTCACCTGATGACTCCATCAGTGGAACCAGTGCACAGCAGGCTCTCAGTGACTGGAACCATGCAGTCAACAGACTCCGCTCTTAGGGCAAACCGATCACTTGTGGCCCCAAAGCCATTCCAGTTGAAGAGGTAGATGGTGCCTTCACTGGAGCCACAGGCCACCTTCTTCCCATACTGCAGGAAATAAAGGAAACCATATTTGTGGAGGCCCATCTGAACAGATCCCTATCATATTCCCAAACCCCCATACCCAGATGTACTTTCATGACAGTGACGGAGGTCAGGTCTCCAGACTGAGGCTCTGAGAGTAGTTCAAACCGGCGTCGCCTGATGTTGAAGACACCCAGGCAGCCATCCCCACTGTAGAGAAAGAGCAGCAGGCTTAGCCAAAGCTCCCATCAAAGGAGAGAGCTTTAACAGGGAAGGGAAAGGGCGGCAGCTTTGAGGCTATACCTGGCTGTAAGCAGCAGCTTCTTGGCTGGGTCCAGAGCCATGTCAGCAATATACTCCTCATGCTGCCGCATATCCATTAAGGGGCCCTCCTTCCGCTGGTCCCAGAGCCGGATGCCACCTGTGTCATCCCCAGTGGCTAGGACATTCTCATCTACCAGCAGCAGGCTGTTGATGGGGGCACTAGGGATACAGAGCTTCTTGAAGCATCTCTGTCCCAGGAGGAACCTACCACATTACCCTTGACCTCAACACACAATTTAGCTGCCCTTACCCATGAGCCTTAGAAATGCGTCTTTCCAGTCGGCCCTGCTCCACATCTAGAACGTGGATGGCTTTGTCCTTGGAGACAGTGACAAGTTCTGGGGGGGGGGGGAGGTACTCAGGTCATGTTGCCGCGCCCTGCTCCCTTGCCAAAAGATTGCTGGCTGGCTGCCGTGCCCGGTACTCACTCTGTCCATTTTCAGAGAAGACCACAGCTCGGCAGGATTTGAGGTGGTGACCTGAAGACCAGAGCTCCTTTGTTTCTCCCTCTTGGCAAGAGTAGGAAAAGCTAGGGGGAGGAGGAGAATCAATGACTCCAAAACCTGCCAGCATGGAATATAAAGACCAACCAGTCAACCTTCAGCCTATCTAGGAACTGCTGTTTATACACCATCAAACCCAAGGGGGTTAACATCCCATTTTTCCATTTTCAAATGTTAAGTCTTTTATTCAACATGTATTAATTCAAAGTACATCTGCTCAGGACTTCTTTGTGAACTGACCCATCATCCTTAAAAGCCCCAGCTTGGGGAAATACTAGATCTGGACCACAATGGGGGGACATGAAATACGTGCTAAAGGCAGAAGAACAGGGGTGCCTGGGTGGCTCAGTTGCTTAAGCGTCTGCCTTTGGCTCAGGTCATCCCAGAGTCCTAGGATTGAGCCTTCATCAGGCTTCCTGCTCAGCAGGCAGTCTGCTTCTTCCTCTCCCTTACCCTCTGCCCCTCCCCCGAGCTTGTGCTCTCACTCTCTCCCTCTCAAGAAAAAATCTTGAGGGGAAAAAAAGGGGGGATGGTGCCTGGGTGGCTCTGCCTTGGGCTCTGGTCATGGTCTCAGAGTCCTGGGATGGAGCCCTGCCATAGGGCTCTCTGCTCAGCAGGGAGCCTGCTTTCTCTTCTCTCTCTGTCTGCCTCTCTGCCTACTTGTGATCTCTCTCTCTGTCAAATAAATAAATCTTTAAAAAAAAAGGAAAAAGAAAAAAAAGGAACAGCTCCAGGAGTTTGAAATGTAAAAATTGACAGAAGACAGGGCTCTTGTACTCCAGGTCTATATGAGCTAAAGAAAGTTAAAAATAATTACAGAATATAGTGGCCACAGGCTGAAAAGGAGGTAGGATCAAAATGGAGGTGGAACAGAAAAGGGCCAGCCTGGAAGCTCAGCTTTGAGCCAAGTACTTGTCCAGAGTGTATCACCAGTGGCTACCTCAAGGCAGATCCTCAAAAACGGCCGGATGACAAAGTGCTTAATTGCCAGGGAGTTTCAGGCAAGCAGAACAGGGTCTGCTTATTTGCTCTGTCCCAGTGCCTAGCAGGAGAAAAGAGCCCCGGAAAGCTAAGGTCAAAATGTGAGTTGGGGGGGCACCTGGGTGGCTCAGTGGGTTAAGCCTCTGCCTTTGGCTCGGGTCGTGGTCTCAGGGTCCTGGGATCAAGCCCCACGTTGGGCTCTCTGCTCAGCAGGGAGCCTGCTTCCCCCTCTCCCTCTGCCAGCCTCTCTGCCTACTTGTGATCTCTCTCTCTCTGTGTCAAATAAATAAATAAAAATCTTTAAAAAAAAAAAAAAAAAGATGTGAGTTGGGTCATGAAGAGTTAAACAGTTCACCTGGCAGATACTGGAGGCAGATATGAATGTCCCTTCTAGGGCAAGGACAAGGAAGGAGGAGGGTTCCAGTGGCAGGAGAGTGAAATGACTGAATCTAGAAAGAGGGGCTGGACTGGAGATCATATAGGCCAAGCAGAAGGATGAATTTAATCCTTTGGGGAAAGGAACCTCTTTGAAATGATCGTGGGAGAAGTCAGAAGCCTGCCAAAAGGCAGTGGCTGAAGGTAGGAAAGAGGAGACAAACTGAAGCAATGGCGATGTGAATCAAGGGGGAGGTCCAGAGTGACTCCCAAGTGTACAGCATGAAGTAGGTAAGTAGGAGTAGTAGTAGAAAGGAACCCACCTTTGTTGAACTCAGTAAACACCTGAATGCTCTGCAAGGTAGGTCCAGGCATACCTCCTCTTACGGCACTTCACAGACACTGCATTTTTTTATACTGAAGGTCTGTGGCAACCCTGTATGGAACCAGTCTATCAGTGCCAGTTTTCCAACACCATCTGCTTGCTTCTTGTGTCTCTCACATTTGGGGAATTCTCACAATATTTCAAACCTTTTCATTGTATTTGTTATAGTGATCTGTGACCAGTGATTATGACTCACTCATGACAGTGAGCATTTTTTAGCAACAAAATATCTTTTAATTAAGGCATGTATACTGTTTTTTTGGACATAATGCTAATACACATTTAATAGACTTAAGTATAGTGTATACTTATGTGAACTGGGAAACCAAAAAATTCGGTGACTGGCTTTATTTAAACGGTCCGGAGCCAAACCTGCAATGTCTCAGAGTTATGCCTGTATTATTCCATTTTTGAAGATGAAAATATGGAAGTTAACTTGCCCAAGGTGACTGAAGCTAATAAAGAGGTTAAGGTTTAATGTCATTAAGTACACCTGACAGCACAACTCTTCTGGTTAAAACCTTCAATGACTCTTCACTGCTTCCAGCCTACTCATCTTGTTCAAAATCAAATACATATTAAGCACCTACCGTGGTCTAGAAGAGGAGATAAAAAGGACAACAAAACAGACTACAGATTACATAAAAATGTTTTTCAAACTCCAGTCATGATCCATTAGTGAACTGTGATCAGCATTTTATGTCTGTGTGCCTGTAATAACAATGTAATAAACCGGAAAATATCAGTGCATCACACATAATTATATGTGGTGTGGGGTGAGGTCAAAAAAGTTTGAAAAACATTTTTATTTTTAGTGAAGGAGCAAACATTCAAATAATTACACAAACGGATTTAAGATTACAAACCATTACGAAGTTTCTGAGGGCAAGTTATCTGGTGCTAACACAGCAGTGTCTAATGAGTAATCTAATTTAGCCTGGGGAAGGGGAGGACAAATGTAGAGATGCCGAGAACTCAGGGATAGTGGGGAAAGTTTTCCAGGCAGAAAGAAAAAGCCGCAAAAGAGCTGAGGATTTAAGATACATTGAAAAGGTAAGAATGAATGAGCACAGAAAGTAAGGGGAAAGTGAGCGAGAACCAGATGGCCAAGATCCTAAAAGCCAGGTTAAGGAGTTTTGACTTAACCCTAAAAACCAAGGTAAACTACTGAGGGGTCTTAAGAAAGAGAGGTCGTTAGATTTGTGTTTGAAAGATCAATTAAAGCAGGCAAGAGGCAAAGTGGAGGGGGCCCATTCAACCCATTTCAGGCTCAGTATAATAATCCAATGAAAAATAAGTGTCCTGAACGCCTTCTCGTCCTGCTACCGTCTCTGGACTTCGTCAGGGCATTCCAGCCACTGTGTCTTCCTTTCAG